TACAAAGATATAGTGTGTTGAGATCACGGCTGATCATTTAAGCCCTAGGCCTAGACCTTAGGGACAGGACAGGCTAGCTCCAGACGGCTTGGGTCTAAAAAGTCTAGCTCCAGACGGCTTGGGTCTAGAGAGTCTAGTCTCTAGCATGTATTGTAAATAGCCGGGTGAAAATGGCAACACAATGTATTGCTTTGCATTATGTATGTTTAGTGGTGAAAGGATCTGAATTGTGAAATGTACCTTCGCCAGTACATAGTCGAGAGTCGGGTACATGTACATACTTGCTGATGCATAGCAAACGCCACCAGAAGAGAACTCATCCTCATTCGCCTTTGATTCTGGCAAGATGCCAAAGATGCCAGACCCGGCGTCGCTGATGTAGCCTTGCTTGCCTAAAGACATTAATTATTAGCAACAAAAATAATGGTAAATACGTAACAGGATCACCATGATCACGAATAGGATTGGATATGAATGACCTTGACCCCTGTGAGAAGGCTATCGATAGTTATGCGAATAAGGTACAATGTGAACGCACCGCTTGTAATCCGAGACAAACCTACCGAATTTCGGCGGGTCGCCGGAATTTGGAATGAATTCGTATACAGCGTGAACGCACCTTTTAGAAGACAAAAATAAAATATAATGGAATGAAATACGAATCCTAACAGTTTATGTATGTTTCGGTTTATGTATGCTATAAAAACCACATGGGAGTAAATTATGGCTGACACAACATTATTTTATATTAATATTCTGACAGAGTTAAATTAATGAACTGTTTCATGAAAAATGACAAGACCTACCAAATAAAGTAAATAAAGAAAAACACCCGCATTCTCGGCACTAACTGTAGTTACCCTTGGTGATAGCAGCCAGGAAAGCAAAGACTGAAATCTATTATTCCGAATACTTACCAGAAGATTCAAAATGAAAATTCTTAACACATTTTTAATTGTTTGTCTGGTTATGATGGTTTATCTGGATTTCTGTGAGTTCAAATGTAAAGCAGATGAAGATGAAACTGATGAATGTAAGTGTACTGTTTCTTTAGCAAATGTTAGTAAAAAGACCTGTTTGAGATTATTCATTTAAAGTACGAATACGCCTAGTAATTTTTTAGCTTTGTCTGAATAATATAACATATTATACGGAAAGATGTTTAAATCATGACAAAGCTACCAGTCGATTGTCGTGAGTACGATATCTGTGAATTACGCCAATAAAATGTTTTTTTCGTACTTTGAAAATATTGCTTCACTATGCCGTCATATTGATTTGATTGATAAATATAACGTGTCTCTCTCGGCTATTATTCTAGATATATTTGATTGACACGTATACTATCTCCCTGATAATGTCTACTACATCGTTAACACAGTTCATCGCGTGCATTTTGCATACCGATAGTTCATTGGCCAATCACGCTATTTTACTGACATTTCGCCTAATAGTTTGGATGCAGCTATGGCGGGTGTGACGCCAGGCAGGGTAAGCTTACTCTTCCGGACACCTGTTACCACTGTTTGTCGTATATTTTGTACACGGTGAGCAGTCCATTTGCTGATTACACTATTTTGCCTGATTACACTATTTTGCCTATACCGATTGTTTTGGGAACACAACCGGTGTAGGCTGTCATTGATAGTCCATTGGCCAATCACGCTATTTTACCGAGATTTCGCATCATAGTTTGGATGCCGCTATGGCGGATGTGGCGCCAGGCAGGGTAAGCTTACTCTTCCGGACACCTGTTACCACTGTTTGTCGTGTATTTTGTACACGAGGAGCAGTCCATTTGCTGATTACACTATTTTGCTTGAATACACTATTTTGCCTATAAGGTTTTTTAGGACTTCGAATTCTGCCTTATGGTTTGGATTGTTCGTACTTGGTTTTATTTTATTAACAAAGCGAAGCCAAGAAGGCAAGGAGTGAATAGGACGAGGCCAAGGACGTCTTGGCTACTCACGGATTATTTCTTACCTTCTTGACTTCGTGCTGTTAATCGTAGCGAAGCGAGAGCAATGATGGGGCGAGATTAGGACAATTTGTTGTGGATTATTGCCTTCGCCGTCGCATCTAGTTGACGCTTAGGCAAGAAGGAGCGAGGGGGTACTTATCGGCTGTCATAAATATGAGCTTACTTGTTCGGGTTACACTCGACGAAAAATGTTATGGCTAATGACACATAAAACGTGATTACTAAATCAGAAGCACCGGTTGAAGGTTTGGAACTGCTCGGGAAAGTACACGCCAGGTTAGTGTTAGACCAAAACGTCGGTGTCTGATACATTCGACAAGATATGATACCTAAATGGGATAAGGGTTGTCGGGGCGGCAGTGGTTGTTTAGTACATTGGGTCAACGATTAGAATACTCCGGGTTGAGCATTGTTGAAGCCCGGTCCCATTTTTATCATGGGTGGCACCTGTCCCCAAGATAAAAATAGGGTGTCTACGGATGTTCTTTCAAAGCTTCTCATGGTGCAAATAGTTTGATTGTTTTTTTTTTGTTTTTTTGTGTTTTTGTTTTTTTTATTTGTTTAACCATTATGCTGGAGTATATAATATATCCATGTGAGGTATAGCAAAGAAAGAAGCGAAATTAAATCACGAAGAAGTATTTTTAGCAACGAGCACAAAAATAAATCAGACGACGTTTAAATATCGTTGTAGTGATTGGCAGCTAGGCTAGTCAGTTTTTCTACCCGGTGCCTGACAGCAGGTGACTCTTGTTTTGTCGTATGGGTCTATCTTTGGTAGGCTAGACATTACTGACCCGTGTACGGTGTAGGCTAGACGGTTTCTGTACCGCACCTTGTGAGTGAACTCGTTTATACCTTCCATTGTACAAACAGGCGTTACGCCCCCCCCCCCCCAATGAAAGAAGAATTATCAGTCACCAAGTTTCTTTTTAATCGTTTTTATTCTTAATATTTTTAGATGATGGAATTTATGTAACACAATCACCACCGATTCTACTGGCTGCTCTGTGTGCTGCTTTGAAACAACAAGGACAAACGTCTTATTTGTGTTTTTAGAATGGCAAATGTAACTGGACGAATGCGTTATGGAAATCACAAAGAACAATTAACCAATATACATGTTTGATAAAGACGAGAGAACCCTCGTCGAAACATCGCTGAAAAAAATTCTCCAAGTAACTTGTATTCCATATAACTGTGTCATGTGTTAACATACATGTTATTTGTCTTCGCCGAAATGTTTAGAAATTTAGACAATTTGAATATTTGCCCCTTATTAAACGATCTATAAAGTTCTTACTTTGTGTAGCAATTACGTTTTTTTCGGATGGCTTGAAATATGTAAATTGTATTAGAGTCTTATCAAGAATCTGGTGATTTAAATCATTTTGTAGTAAGATCTTTTTACTTGAAAATGGATATTTTCCCAGAGCATTGTAATAATTATTCCTTTCGACATACATATGTTACCAAATATAAGAGACACATTTTGGTGAGAGCTACGATTTCAAATTTTTGTTGTGGCATTGTTGACCCCATAAGCTGTGACACTTCAGCTACTGTATCCTACCAGTGCTAACCACTGGCATTCAAGGGTAAGGTATGCTTATTCTTTCTGGTACTCTTTATGACATTCATCACTTGTGGCATGTATGGAATAGATGTCATGGAGCAAGATTGCATATCTATAAGACCTTTGTAGACGAGCTATAATGTTGGAGCTTACTTCATTTTATTACATAACATCAATGTAATCAAATATATAAATATCTAAATAACTTATTTATAATATAATATAATATAATATAATATAATATAATATAATATAATATAATCACTTTTAAGTTGGAGCTTGATAAGAAATATACCGTTCTACAAATGAATAGGTTTTGGCTTTAAAAGATAGAAGTTACATGAAGCTTTTTTGAAATTCTGTAAAATTTGAATATATCAGATAATAAATATTTGTATAAATAAGTAAAATAAACCTTACAATTAATGCGGTAACCAATGTAATTGATGAAGTAATGTGTTCATATCTAGGAAGGCTGCTAATTTTGAACTCAATTTAAGACGTAGTTAGGTTAAAGAATTATTGAAATTGTTCTTGGATATCACGAACCCGGAATTCTGGGATAATTAGCTCTAGAGATTCTTAATTGAGAATCCAATTTGAAATTAATCTTTGAATAACGTAAAGTCTGACCATGCTTTTCAATATTTTAACATGATGGTACGTAAATAGTACCCTACACATTCCTTATAACTTGAAAACATTGGAAAGACACCGAACTGGGCCGACGTTGCCTCGTGAGTTTTTAAGGTAGCGAAAAACACATTTAGGCCTACATAGTTGATTTTTAATTTGTACTTCAAGGCATCATATATCGAAAAACACTGTACTGAAAATAATTTGTTCTGTGCCGTCTGTATGTCCCACGACTGAAAAGAATTGCCCAATTGCTCTGTAAGAAAAAAGCAGCGGGACAATACCGATGATGTCAAGTGAAAATCTCACGCTTTCGTTGTTTTTTGGGAGATGGAAAGTGTACATTTGCATATTTAGGTAAACGACACACTTGTACTAGCAAGCACAGGGTGCTCGCATTCCCAGAATCTTCTGTGGTAGGCTACAATATGAAGTTTTCTCTCCCGTGGGGAGACAACCAATCTGATTAAAATACAGATTATATTCGTTTCGTTTTGTTTTATACTTTCGATGGCCTGCACTACATGAACATCTGACCGGTTGTACTGGTTGTCAGGGGTCGTACGAGAGGCTTTTGACCCTATGACGTCAGACATTGCATTTGATTAACCAATCAGCGTTGACGTTTCTAGTGGTTTACCCACAGTTCCGTACATCGCACGCCAAGAACTCGTCGTAACAGACCGCTTGTGTAGTAAAGACAAGTAAAACGAAATTTTGAACTATAAAAATGGTAACGAAATAGGATCTGTGTTGTAATCAGATTGGGAGACAACCTACCCAGATCCCCAGATATCACAGTGCTTCAGATAACTTAAATAATTGACCTGTCTTCATTGCCATATAGTGTTAAATATTTAATACCATTCTGGTAAAAAAGACAACAGTGGTCAACACCACGGTTATAAAATACACACGGAACAGCACAGAGTCTAAAATTTCGGCTAAATCTTTCCAGGTTAACGGAGTGTACAGATCAACATGATCATTATATACAACTTGGACGGAGGATGCAGGGCTTGTTTCTCCGTTTCCTTTAATCTTCACAGCACCGACAGCATTCAGTCGACACATCTTCTTTTTGCGGCAGACAATTTTCAGTAGAACACTCTCTGTAAACCTAAGTTGCCATCTTGGTATAGGTACACTATCTTTTCTGTGAAACAGGTCGATGACCCAGATAGCTAGAATTACAGCTAAGGCACACAATACCATCACGATAGCCATATATATAGCTGGAAAATAAGGATACTATTCGTAAAAATCTAATGAACTACACAATAATAATAATAAAAAACATAATATGGAACACAATTACCATTTTAAGTAAAGGGTTCGCTTAATTAAAAAGTAATTAGGTTCCATATTATGTGTTTGTCAAATACCACTCAAAGAAGAAATATATACAATTATTTATTTAGGTATCACATTCACGTTGATAGAATGCGGGTTATATATTATTTAAATTAAACGTTAAACAAGAATATTGAATCATTCGGAACTGACGTTTAACGCCATCTCTCTCTCTCTCTCTCTCTCTCTATCTCTCTCTCTCTCTCTCTCTCAGGGTTCTAGATATATTGATCAGTCTTAGGGAATAACACATAAAACTCACTCAAAAGGCTGGATGTTTTTCCTGAAGCTGGAAGTTGTTCGGAGAGCAAAGTGACCAAGACAGTGTAAGACAACATCATTGTTAGACAGAACGCGATCTTTTCTCCGGATTCCGGTGTCAAGGCGAATGTATACACCGTGAGCAGAGAGTTGATAAGTATTGGTAAAATATAGAAAACACCATAAAAAGCCGGTCGTCGTTCCACTTTGAAAGAGAAGATTATACGTCTGAAATCTAAACCGGCATTTGTAAAGGTGTCGAGTGTGGTTTCGTTTGACTTCATGGCCCACTCACTGCTGGACTGGTACAGACTTAAATCTATACCAAAATTAAATGCGTTGAAATCTACTTCTTGCGTGGTGTATCCATAACTGGTCAAAGAAATCTGGCATTTTTGTGTGTCAAATGGAAAGTAGAAAGTGTTTGCGTCACATGCAGTTTTATAAATCCCCGGTGGCCACCATGTGATAATCCCTAGGAAGTTTGCTCTGACTAACACCGATTCATCACTGATGACACTTAAATCGTTCACCCTGAAAAGGAAAGAATTGTACAGAAATGGTAAATTGTTGAATCCACGTTTTCATACTTTTGAATTAAAAGTAATATTCGAACACCATAAACTCGATCTTAATTTCTTGAAGACAGTTCTCTGATCTCTTTAAAGACGCTGCGAGACTAAATACACCCAAGCACTCATTGGAAATTATACCCCCCCCCCCCTCTCTCTCCCCCCCCCCCCAAAAAAAAAAGAAAAAGGGCAAAGCATAGCTGTTGCTAAAAACGCTATATTCATTCAATTTACAATGTTAAAAATACCGCCGACCCTTATAGACAGGCGAATCCGTTTGTAACGGGAAGCTGATGGTACACTGCTTCTCATGGTAACAACGAACAGTCGGTTGATTTATCGATTTCGTTCCTATTTAATATATTTAAAGCTTTCTAATCACTTTTCAGGCTATTATTTTAATTTATAATCTAGGTCATAGGAGAAATATGTTTTAAATACCCCTCCCCGCCTTCTTCTCGAAAACAAACAATACTGTGAAAATAAATTCAATATTATTACAAATAAACCGAAACAGTGACTTTGATTAAGATTGATACTATGAGCAAGACTGAAAAAATATTTGTGTATTTTTACCGTAAATTGACTGGCAGAAAGTTGGCAGTAAATTGACTGTATTTTAACACTGACTTGTAAATTTACACTTAAGTGGTAGATTTAGATTTACAAACAGCATGTAAATTTACAGTGAGTGTAAAATAACTTGTTCTTGTAAATAGAAAGTGAGGTAAATTTACGTTCACTGTCATTTTACAAGTGGTTGTAAATTTACCTCAAAGTTATCTTAAACTCACTGTAAATTTACACTGTGGTTGTAAATTTACTTCAAAGTTATTTTACACTCACTGTAAATTTACGTGGTGTTTGTAAATCTAAAATTTAGGGGGACATTTACAAGTCAGTGTTAAAATACAGTGATTTTACTGTCAACTTTCTGCCAGTCATTTTACGGTATAAATACAATCTGAAGTGTATATTTACTTGAATTATACTTTGAATGTGTTTGTCCAAACTCGGCTAAGTAGTCCTAGGTAAGATCCTAGCGAACACATAACGTTTTGCTAACATTTCAGCCGAGCATGCAAAACATCATTCGATAATGGAAAGAAATTAAATAAAATGGGATTTAACGTCCTACAGTTCTGCTGCTTACAATGGAAAGAGTAGGAAGCATGACACGAAGCAAAATCTCTCACAACCCTATGTATGGCATATCACTGTCTCCATACGCCAGTTAGGTGCATTCAGATTTTGAATAACCTATTTCTCTAAAACAGCCTAATCTGACTGATATAACAGTAAATATTTTGCACAAAATTCGATATGTAGTCGAAGGGGAATAACCGATTTGAACACTATTTGACAGTAAATTTACAATTTGTTGTAAAAATACTATTTCAAATGGCATTTCTGTTAATATACAGCTCACATAATGTAAACTGACATATGGTTGTATTTTTACATTACGCTTGATGTAATCTTACATGTGGCCAAAGGGGGAATAACCGATGTGGCCACTATTTGAAAGTACATTTACAATTTGCTGTAAAAATAATAATTCAAATGGCAATTCTGTTAATATACAGTTCACATAATGTAAACTGACATATGGTTGTATTTCTACATTAAGTTTGATGTAATCTTACATAAGCTTTGTATTCATGTGTATTTACATCGTTTTAAATGTAAATTAACAAACCATGTGATATTACAAATCGGACACTTATAACTAAATGTACATATAATTTTAACAGTTTAATAAAGATCTTTTACGTTCACATCAACGTGTACACGGGACATCAGTGTTTCGTCCCATCCGAACGACAAGACAGCTATCCTTGTCAGGCCCTCCGTCCTGCATCAGTGACAAGGGGAACCACGCCGGAAAATCTGGATGAACTTTCTCGGTCAATGCAGGGATCGAAGACCCGACCTCCAGGCTAGTGTGTCAGCGTCTTACCCACTTAGCCACCGTGACCCCCTCATAAGTGGACAATAGTATACACGAAAAGTAATGAAGCCTTAAAGGGTTATCAATGTAAAAGTTCTAAAGAGATGTACAATTACACGTTTCCTGTAATTGTACACAAATCACGTATTTAAACATGTTTGGATAGTACAATTACCCATAAAAACAGTTAAAGTACAACATACATATATACTTTTAACCAACATAGATTACATGTAATAAAAATACAGTTCTAACTTGTAAAACTACACTTTTATTGTTAATTTACCAATGTTTTACAGTAATCCCATGTTACCTCACTAATCCAGTAAATGTATAGTATAAAAACATGCAGTGGTATTTTTACAGCGTTATGTTAAAGAAATTACACATTTTTCACTGTAATTTTACATTTATGTTTAACAGTGAACACAAGTAATACATCAGAGTATCTTACGAGTTGTCGACCACAAAAGAAGGAACCCATATAGTTGATTCTTTCATCAGCTGAAACCGTATGTCATCATAATTTGATGGTGTCCATGTTAAACGACTATCGGACCATCTCTGTAAGATAGAAAAACACCACAAAAGATAGAAATAAGCTTGGCGTTTTCGTCTGTTTTTACTTTACCGATTTGATTCTTACGGTGGGAATAAGTTGTACAATTTGTATAATAAACACCTTGTGTTTTTTTTTAGTATGATGTCTTGTCCGTGTATTTGTTTTTTTGTAAATTTTGTGTGATGCAGTCCCCCTGGACTTACTATTAGAAACACAAAGTCATATACTACGCAATCATGCACGATAACTAGTCAGAAACAATATAAAAAATAACTTAAAATATATACAAAATATAACTTATAGAGGGAGACATGCATTCAGATCAGAATATATATGAATATATATATATATATATATATATATATGAAAAAAAACAAACAAAAACCCACTTACCACTACAAATAACCCATTTACAGAAAACTGTTCTTTTTCTACATCCTAAAAAATACGGTAGTACAATGAAAATATACTATTTATTATGTAAATAAAGTGGCGGTTTTATATTTAACGAATATTATTAGTTTCAAACTTAGAACGATTTTTTTTTATCAAATTTAACCAAATTAGTGTTTATCAAAGTAGAAGATCGCAATATGTCTTTAAATGTTATTATTAACAGATAATGCAGCATCATTACGTACCAATTACGTGCTTACGAAAATAAATATGGAAAAGAAGTTAAGAAAAAAAACCCCAAAAACATTCGTTGGCCCTTCTGAAACCCGCGTAAATAATTCGAATTTTTTGTAAATTTTTTCTCTTAAAGTGAAACGGCCCCGGGTCTTTCAGTATGTATGAATTCAAAATAACCTGAAAATTAACTTACCAGACTATCAATAGACATTATACTGAAGGATATAGATACAACTGTCTTTTTATCGGGACGATCAGTAGGCGAATAACCACTCGTCAGATCCATTCTTAATCTGGAGGCATTAGCCACAGTATAACATTTCACACTTACAATACCTGAAGAAAAAGATTTCAACAATATTGGAATCGTGGCAACGAAACATAGTCCACCATCAGATATATTAAACGTTAATATTTTAGATATTAATTGCAGCGCTAACCATTCGGCCATCCAATCCCCCTAAATTGACAGCAGAATAAATTCAGTAAAAGAGTCAGAAACTGAGGAATTTTTCCTGATACTTAAGGGAATTCTAATCATAAGTATAGTCCCTCGATGACAGTTCCTAACTTTTGAATTTTCGTATAAATTTGGCGTAAATCAATAAGTATCTTTTACCAACCTAATGAATTCATTTATAAAGTTGTATAAACTAATCTGTTACGCCAGATATATCATAATAATTCACAGATAAATGCGATCCTTGCAGTTTCCGAAAGGTTTCGTGATCACGTGGAATAATCCGATTGGTTGAGGAGGGGCGACAAATTTACTTTGAGGGCGGCGGAGGACATTAGCCTTATTATTTAATTAGCTATATTAGCGATATGCCCAAATCAGTTATCCCCTTACTGTGAGTACTAATTAGACGCAATAAACACCTAAAAGATTACTAATTAGACAACTTGCTTTGTAGATAGATGCGGATAGCAAGGACAGTGTTTAGCCGTTCGGATGGTACAAAACACCTATGTCCCATGTCCAGGTTGACTTGCATGTAACAGAACCCTTGAAAGTTTGAACTGAAAATAAGATAAAAACATAGCGCCGCTGTCCGGGCAAGAGTTACCTCATAGTACACTGTAGGCCTATGACGGACGCCCGTCGCCATTCGCCCAGTCGGAGCATAAACGTAGGACATTAAACTCTACATGTATTTCATTTTATTTGTAGATAGATGGTAACCATATTGATTGTATTTTTATTGTATTACAGTATATTTACTGAATATTTTAGCCTACTCTATGGTAGACCTGTATCTCAAACACGACTATAACTCTTGGGACGAGTTTCTTTGGAGATACCGAGCAAAGCAAACAATCCTTGTCTGTGATGTCACTCTCGGTGGCAGCGAACGTTAAAGGAGCTAAATCGCTAATATTTTGGACCTAGAAGTTGGCACAAATGGGCCGCAACACATATAATAATGTAATATGAATTTATATAAACTGTTTTGTATTCAATCGTGTCCGTTTTACTGTGAATTGTCATCAGTTATGTTCGGCGAAATACGTCAGAAGTCTCAAGTACCGCAAGTCAGTTTCTAGCGTCTGGTTATTCCAGCCAACACCGATATTATTTATTGCGCATGCTCTCCAAATAAGAACATGATATCACCGTTTGACATGACTTGTGGAATATGTCTAGCCTCATTCTTTGAGCACCTTGTTACAAATGGCGCTGAAACGCATTATGGTACACGATTCGTGTACCAATGGTAAAATGTTTATTTTGTCTTAAATATTAGATATCAGAAGCCCATCTTTTCCAGGTAAGATCACAACACCAATGCTTATTTAAATTGCAAAAAAAAATCGGGTTTTCAATGTCGAAGATTTTGGATGCTATTGAGTTACGGACTTAGCTACTTTAATCATAAGCTACTACTACAACCATCCTGCGATATCGCTGTCGTTGAAGCAGACGTTGTACCACGACTACTGCCATAAACTATTTACTGTGCATGAAAACGATAAGAGAATACGTGTTGAATAGCCATGTCATCTGTTGTTGTTTTTAGTTTTAGAAAATGGAATTTTAAAATATGTTCACTTTGTATGCCTTTCCTCCAACCCCTATCTGGAAACCATCTATTGTTTATAATTTTTAATATGGATTGATTAAAATAATGCATGATTTCGCAGCAACTTATCATTATATACACTTCAATATCTCCACATCTCGACCATTAAGTATAAGCAGACAAATACAAATATATTATACCAAAATTAATTCAGTGTTTACATTTTTCTTCTAGCTATATTTTCTTGGATTGATTTGATTAGCTTTGATGGTCAATATTAAAATAAGTACGTGTTGTATACTTACACAGCAAACTAAAAGTCAAAGCGATTTGTCTTGGTAAAATACTAGGCATGTTGGATAACTCAGGAAAAAATCACAAAATAGGATAATACACACGTATTTATAACACCTGAACACAGTTTCTCGACCGTATCCACTGACAGGAGTATTATAACTAACGATGAATTTTCGTTTTCGTATATTTTACGTACATAAAACATATACTAACATGCTTGTGTCTAACAACATGTAGTCTGACCCTTTAACCCTGGTTACTTACGAACAATGGAATCATTATGGTCACTGGTCACAGTCGCTAGTTAAACAGAGTTTATATAATATACATGTATCCTAGTCATTGATTGGGGTTAATCTAGCAACCCTATTACATGTATGCATGCCAGTGTCGCTACCATATCCCTTTGGTATATATGTTTGATCTTGTTTGGTTTGCAGAACTGTTATGTGCAATCTTAATCCGCGTGTAAATTTTATTGTTTACAGTTAAAATTAAGGCGCGGTTGTCATTTCAAAGTTTAGGCGGTTTTTGTGATTTAGTCGGTTTGTGGATTTAATCCCAAACATCTTCAAAACCAGCGAATTCAGTGAATGTATTAATGTGTGGAATTTGCGATATTTGTTTACAACTGAATTCAAAATTATATGCCAGAGTAGCATATTTTTTTTGCAAAATTATAATTGAATGATAAAACTGGTGATCTTCCATTAGAAGGGTCGTCAGATCATTCCTCACATTGATGTTAGTTACAACTTCAATAGCAGCGAAGATGAATATTGTTAAAGATTAGACTAATGAACATAAAAAGATAACCACGCAAAACGAGGAAATACGCCCACATAGCAGCTATGTCTAGACAGCACTTTATCCGTAAGGCAAATCAAGATGTTCACAGCATTTGATAAGAAGGAATACCTTGAATTTTAAGAAATCTGATCTCTTTCGTATTTACAACATTGGAAAAATCTATTAAAAACTATTCAATCTATCGTATTGACGAGGTTTTCGGAAAGGGGGGGGGGGCGGGAGACTCAGGAACGGAAGTTCCTGCAACGCCGAATATGTATAGGGTTCATCCTCACATAAAGACTGTAGCCTGTATCATGTTCGCGGGGGACATGACCCTAGAACGGAAAGTAACAGAATGCTGAATATCGATAGGGTTCGTCCTCCGGTGAATCTAATGCTCCACACGACACCAAATTTAAAAGAGCTATATTAAAAGCCGTAGCATCTATCACGTTTTCGGCAAAGGGGGCATAACTCCTACTCGGAGAGTCGCAGAACGATGAACATCCATAAGGTTCGTCCTCTCATGACCACAATGCTTCACACCAATTTGCAAAGGATCCGACAAAAACTAAGCTTTTATCGCGTTCACAAGACAATTGCTTACTGGCGGACGGACCGCGTAACGACTATATACGCCCAAATTAAATACCCCTCCACATTTGTACTTTATATGATCAACACAATAAATTATATTTTCAAATATTTAGTATTGTCCATTATTCTCCCTTATAGTGGACTACGTTTCAAAACTTTATATGGTATACACATTCATAATTGCGCTGAGTTACGAGGTGTGGTATGCTTCCTCTTTCCGGTACTTTTTAATACTTGATAACAGCTGTAGTTCAGTGGGTTATCGGTCTGTAGATATAATAATTGTGCACCATCATTAGATTTGGAACCTATCGTAATTTGTTCTATCATCCGCTTTCGTATTTTGCAATTTATTTTATCATTTTGTAATTTTCGAGCGCAACCATTGGCCATTCTCAGCTGATCGTGAAATTTTTATTTACTTCTCTGAAATTTCACGTTTGTATACGAAGTGATGCGAGTCGATATGTTCTGGTGAGCTTGGATGCAATATAGTCAATTTCAGGTGACACGATATGTCACGATCTGTGCAACACTACAGATAACAGAAGATAGGCATAATTGATAAGACCTTTATTAAGAACATGAAATAGACATACTTCGGGACGAGCGCTATTCCAAGTCTGACTTACTGTCAGTAAACGCCTGCTTATATAGCGTTCAACAATTAGGGAAGATGGACAAGAGTGATCATCGTATATGGTATTGTTTATTTATCAAATTATGGTGTCTGTAATTACACTGCATGTTTCCTTGGAAGTCATTGTCAGGTACTATGATACACTGACCACTACTATATTCTCTTTGAAGTTATGCCGAGTGTTATACACAGATCATGTGTAGCTTGTAAAGGACATATTGAATTAATTAGATGTTTAATAAGATCGTAGGCAGTCCGTGCCTTAACCGAAGTTTATACAGAGGTGGAACTTCAATATCATATATTATCAAAAGTAGCAGAGTTCATTAAATTCTATGTTCCTAACTGATCGTTCAATTTGACGAGAGAGATAGAGATCACTTTGTCACATCTGGTCTCCCATTCAAATACGACCAGATACGTTTGAGTCCATGGTCGTGTACGTGCAGATACGTTCGGATACGTTTCGATACGATCATAGGGAGCCGATGCGCTCTTTTGCGTATGATACGATTGTGGTCTTGATGTGTTTCACGATCGGGATCGAGAGTGATTATGATTTGGGCTACGATTGGAACCCGCAGTGCATGGTGTTTGTATTATTCAAGTATGTCGCGCTTTGTTACCACCTGACGCGATGGTCACGATTGAAAATTAATCGTGTTGGTCGTAGACACGTTTTGAATCATAAACGACCTCAAGATTAGGATTTCAATCGTAGCGCGAATCGTGATAGTGGCAACCTAGCATTAGAATTTTGTTATTTATTTTATGATTCACTTTGGTGTTCTACTGAAAACACCAGACTTCGGATATATTTGACTGGACGACTACAAGACTGGAATACATGAATAGGCCAAGGGTAACCCAAATCATAACCTATCATAACCTCGTAAGGGTTATGTCTGTTTTTACGACAGGAAGCCCACTTGTTTAGATTATGTTAAAGGTGTTGCAACAAGCGATGCGCATCTGTTACTAATTATCTATTACATGTCTCTAATTAGCAATTGAATACTAAATATCTCACATATCATATCTCAGTATGAAATGTTGAGAAACCAGATCTAAACTTGTGTGGGATTACGCTGAAGGTCTGACATGGAAAATATTCATTCGAATTGCACTAAAACCGATTGTCTAGCATTAATTTAAAAACCCTAGACAATTGGAACCATCAACGAGTCCGTTGAATATAAATTGCTAAGTTATATTCCATAGTTATTTTGCATGTTTATAATTTGACTAAACACTAACAACAACAACAACAACAACAACAACACAAACACATGTGGGTAATAAATATGTTTTTATGATCAATGTTGTTTGAAACCTGTTGTAAACAGTTACAGGCACTGTGTGGCATTTTCTTTTAGCGACTGCATACAATAGAACACATCACAATCATTTATTTATGCTTTGTTCATATACAAGGTCATGTAGTACTAAATATTTAATACCATTCTTGTAAAAACGATAACAGTGGTCAACACAACGGTTATAAAATAAACACGGAACAGCACAGAGTCTAAAATACTGGCTAAATCTTTCCAGTTTAACGGAGTGTACAGATCAACATGATCATTATATACAACTTGGACGGGGGTGACGGGACTTGCTTCATCGTCTCCTTTTATCTTTACAGCACCGACAGCATTCAGTCTACTGATCTTCTTTTTGCGACACCCGATTTTCAGTAGAACGTTCTCTGTAAACTGTATCTGCCATTTCGGTATAGGTTCGCTGTCTTTTCTGTGAAATAGGTCAATGACCCAGATAGCAAGAGGTACAGCTATGGCACACAATACCATTACGATGGCCATATAAATAGCTGGAAAATAAGAATAATATTCTCAAAAATCAAATATACAACAACTTATTTAAGATGGATTATGTAAGATTTAGATAAAGGGTTGACAATTCTTGCCATAATATTTCAAAAATAAATAATGAGACATGAAAATATTGAAAATTTCCGCCAAAATTTGAGCCAAGTTACCAATGTATGACGTTTTTGACACAAACTAGCGTAAATTAGATCATTTTCAGTCATTCAATCGATGTTCTCCGTGAGTGTAAACTATATTATCGTTTAACGAAGATACGGCGGCCAGTATCTATAATTTACTTAATATCTACATGTAAGTCAATCGGTGGTCTAGAATGTTGATTGTGGGCCTATGATATAAATAGATGTCTTAATAATACATTATACAACATTTGAAGCCAGAAAAATGTGCAAAAGGCAGATTTAGTTTACATAATGCGCCTTTAAAGTAGCCACCAGCGAATTCACAGTGTTCACGTTGATACATTTGTCTGTACTAAAGGTTTCAGCTCTAAATATTGAATAAAACTTACTCAAAACACTTGATATTTTCCCTGAACTTGGAAGTTGTTCGGAGAGCAAGGTGACCAAGACAGTGTAAGACAACATCATTGTTAGACAGAACGCGATCTTTTCTCCGGATTCCGGTGTCAAGGCGAATGTATACACCGTGAGCAGAGAGTTGATAAGGATTGGTAAAATATAGAAAACACCATAAAAAGCTGGTCGTCGTTTCATTTCAAATGAGAAGGTAATCCGTCTGAAATCTAAACCGGCATTTGTAAAGGTGTCGATTGAGGTCTCGTTTGCTAGCATGAGCCACTCGCCGTTAGGCTGGTACAGACTTAAATCTATACCATCCTTAAATACATTTAAGTCTACTTCTTGTGTGGTGTATCCATAACTGGTCAACGAAATCTGGCATGTTTGTGTGTCAAATGGAAAGTAGAAAATGTTTGCGTCACATGCGCTTTTATAAATCCCCGGTGGCCACCATGTAATGATTCCTTCATAGTTTGCCCTGACTAACACCGATTCATCACTGATGACACTTAAATCGTTCACCCTGAAATGAAATAATTATGATCAATTTTCAGCCCATTTTCTAGTCATGATATTTTTTGTTTATTAAAGACATACAAGAGGTAATTGTATTGTATTGTAATTAGCACTTGCATTGTAAAATGGCGCCCCACCCCCCCTGTTCTTATTACAAATATAACATAAAATGGTCATATATTTAAAGGAAAAAACAATGATCTTACGAGTTATCAACAATGAAAGCAGGAACCCATATTTTTGATTCTTTCATCAGTTGAAAATGAATATCACCATAATCTGATGGTGTCCATGTTAACCGACTATCACTCCATCTCTGTAATATAAAGAAACATCCAGATGGAATGAAATGAAATGGAGTTTAACGTCCTACTGTTCTGCTACGACTGCGCCATACAGTGTGCTATGTGGGAAATTTTGCCCGGACAGCGGCACTACGGCCTACTCTTCTATCGAATTCCAACTGCCAAGGGATCCTTTACGTACACGCTAATGTGTACACGGAACCTAATGTGTACACGGGACCTCTGTTTTTCGTATCATCCGAACAACTATACGTTGTCCTGCACCACTGACAAGGGGAACCACGCCGAAAAATCCCGATGAACTTTCTCGGCCAACGCAGGGATCGAACACCCAACCTGCAGGTTAGCGTGCCAACGTCGTACCCACTGAGCCACCGTGGCTCCCAAATCCAGATGAAAACTTGTTCCAATCCGAGAGAGAGAGAGAGAGCGAGAGAGAGAGAGAGAGAGGGGGTAACGTCCACTCCACACAAACCAGGTCACTTCGGGACTAACATATGGTTCAATTGATTTTCAATAATAAGATTTGTTTAATCCAGATATACTTCCAACACCTTATTTTTATTTTGTTAATAATTCAAAAAATTGTTTTAGAATTTAATTTGCAGAATAAAATAAAGTTAACATTGAGCGCTAATTAATTCGCCCCAATGTCATCCCTCGCAGTGGTAGTAGCATCGAGCGAATATTTAATACTGATCATTTTGAAATTGTCCAAGAAAATAAAAAAAACTCTCTTCATTCGAAATGCAACACCCAAATTAGACCCGGTTTTACGACTTTTAGTTCGACTGGGTAGGCAGGGCACGTTTTAGTTAATAAACATACAAATCAGAAGTAAAATACAACGCCATATGGCACAATAGGCGGTCTAGTAATATCTTCGCCCGAGAAGATGAAAAATGAAAAAGTAGTATATTATACGCAAATGATGCACCGGGTCTGATTAGTGATCAGGGCCGTAACTAGTTCAGAGCAACGAGGGGGCGGGAAGGGTCCTCAGTGGTGCCGTAAAATTGACGGACAATGTATATCTATTGTTTTTATGGTCGACAATTTTTAATTTTTTCACAGGGGGGGGGGGGGGGCGAAACCTTTTGTAAGGGGGCTTTGCCCCCCCACCCAGTTACGGGCCTGTTAGTGATTAATTGAATAAATGGCAAAAAAAACCCCTTAAATTCTGTTTAGAATATAATTTATTGAGGTTTGTATTAAATTCAGAATATAAACAAAACACTTACGACTACGAATAACCCGTTTACAGAAAACTGTTCATTTTCTACATCCTAGAAAAGAAAAAAAAACATGAAAATACCTTTTATTATAATATTAAACAGAGGATTGTTTTGTTTTTTTAAGTTGACTTCAGAAAACAAAATCCGTTACCAGTGCACATTTTAATATTGGTTTATTTCTAAAGGCATGACGTTAGCCATCTTGCAAAACCGTTTAGCCCTCCGTTTTCATCAAAATCAAAGATCACAACTACGTCGACATTATCGACCATGAATAAGCTCTTATTCTAATTATTTGGAAGTAATGTTTTATGTTAATTTATATACCATGGTACATGTATGTGTGAACATACATGTACTTGAAATTCATTAAATTTAAAAGTAACATAAACACTTACCAAACTATCAATAGACATTATACTGAAAGAAATAGATATAATTGTAACTTTTTCAGGACGATCAGTAGACGAATAACCACTCGTCAGATCCATTCTTAGTGTGGAGGCATTACCAACGGTGTAACAGCTGACACTTACAATACCTGTTAGGAAAAAAAAGAAAGTTTGTAAGATAAAGAAACATAGCAGATCAATTGCTTGGTGTTTCACATCCACGGTGGTACATATTTTAATTCAATAGGTTTTTTGGGGGTTTTTTTTGCAATATAGCCCGATTGGGGCTGACATACCATTAAAAACCATTTCATTCATTCTTTACTCCAGCTGATAATGTCCAAAATCTGAAAGAAATTTTCAATGATAATTGCTACCTCTCGGGCGTTAATACAGTTTCGTAATGGATGACTTAAAATTTAATTTCCAATGATAATTGCAGACCCTATCGGGGTGTTAACAAGTTTTCATAATTAAAGGTTTTAATTTTGATAATAATAATAACTAGAACTGCGATGCAGTAATGAAGGGTTTCACTGGTGCCACATTACCCTTGAACTTATGTCACTTCCGGTGCCAGTTACCCAGCAATATTAATTTCATTTATACATTTGTTACATATGTCAAAAAATTGATCCTTACAAAATTTGTTACTAACTTACAGCTAAGTTAGCTGACTTTTTAATGGGGAATTTCTCGACAAGGGAAGGTGCTAGAAGAAATTTTTGGACATCTATATGATCGTATTGATCCAATCTATATGTCCATTGGAATCAAATATCATAATGTTAAACTAAACGAATGATAAATATAACTCACTTCAAAACAATTTGAAGGCTAATAATACAGTTTTTGCCAAAATTACATTACTTCCGGTGATAATAAAATTTTTACATTAATTCTATGAAAATATAAACGGCATAAGGTCTCACATGGTGAAAATTTTATGATAATCGAATAATAATTGACACTTTTATAGACCAAAACCTATATCTCTGCAACCGAACAAATTAGAAACCATTTTGTGATATCTGTATGGTCGTATGGGGTTTTGCCCAAATGTCGTCATTTTCAGTGACAGTGAAAATGTTAAATTGTATTGACCTAGTCAAAGGTGGCATGAGGCAACACATGGTAACAAAAATTGAAAATCGAACGATAATTGACGCTTTTACATGCAAAATACCGTGAAAAGTGACGCATGCAAAATTGCCTATTTCTTTGCAACTGCGTATATTACAATCTAATTTTGACATACATTGCCCTCGTATGGATTAATGCTACAAAATTATGAAAGTTGCGTAGAAATAATTTAAAATGTGAAGACGATGAATGGGTTGTAAATAGCTGATTTTTACTCCTTTTTTCAACCTTAAATCCAAATGGCGCAAATACAAAACTGATATAAAAAAAACCCCAAAAAACTAAGTCCGACATATTTTGCGCCTGTAGTAGGAGGATTCATCTTCATTGATAAGATTTGTAGAAATCAAGATTTTTCATTAGGAAAAGACCTCCCAACCCGTCAAAATTTAAATTTTAGGCAAAATTACGTCACTTTCGGTGCCGACAGAAAACTTTATAGGTAGAAACAAGTTGAGAATTTGCACCAAGGAGTATATGAGCTTTTGTTTTATACAAATCAGGCAATAAATAATTAATTTAGAACCCATAAACTGTAATAACAATGCGAAAAGTCTTAAAAAGTGATCCTGGCGAAATTGGTTATTTCTTTGCAAAAGAAGATGTTAGAAGCTATTTTTTGACATATTTATGATCGTATTGATCCAATCTATATTTCCATTGAAATGAAATATCATAATGGTAAACGAATACTAAATATAACTCACTTCAAAAAAATATTTGCTTTGAAGGCTAAAAATACAGTTTTTGCTACAATGACATTACTTCCGGTGAGAATGAAAATGTTAAATTAATTTTATGAAATCAGAAATGGCATAAGGCATCACATGGTGAAAATTTTTATGAAAATCGAATAATATTTGACACTGTTATAGACCAAAAACCTTGAAATGTGACTAGTAGAAAATCGTCTATTTCTCTGAAACCTTACAAGTTAGAACCCATTTTGTGGTATCTATATGGTCGTATGGGTTCATTCTATTTGTTGATTGAAATTAAATATCATACTTTTAAACAAATAACATATACGACTCATTTGAAAAAAATATCGGTTTTGAAGGCTAAAATTCGGTTTTTGCCAAAACGACGTCATTTCCTGTGACAGTAAAGGTGTTAAAATGGTTTAATCTAGTCAAACGTGGCATTCGGCATCAAATGGTGAAAGAAAATTGAAAATTGAATAATAATTGATTCTTGTACAGGCAAAATAGCACGAAATGTGACTCATGCAAAATTACCTATTTCTCGACAACTGCTGATATTACAAACTAATTTTGACATACATTCTCTTTGTATGGGTTATTGCTACGAGGTTATGAAAGTTACGATGAAATATTTTGAAATATGAAGACGGTGGATGGGTTGTAAATAGCTTAATTTTACACCTTTTTTCACCTTTTAATCGAAATAGCCGGAAAACGAAATCGAAATTAAAAAAACTGAGTCCGATGATTTGTGCGCCTTTGCATGGCGTATACTTTTGGTAATATCAAATTTTGAAAAAATAATATTTGCTTTCAAAAAGTTGTACTGAACTTTCAAAATCTGTCAAAATTGTAGTTTTTGCTGATTTTACTTCACTTCCGGTGCCGACACGAATCTTTACCGGTAACAAAAAGAATGATATTTTGGACCACGCAGCATATGAACTTTCTTTTGTACAAATCGAATAATAAATAATTAATCTAGGACTGAAAAACTGAATTAGCCAATGGCGACCAAGAAAAATTTCGGACACAAAAAATGTTGACATTTTTAGTCAAATCGGATAACTGTTCAACCCTGGTTAAAATGCCATATAAAAATATTCATAAATAAAAAAGTTTTTTGTAAAATTTTAAATTTTCGAAATTTGGCGCTTAATATCTACGAAGATTCGTTAACAATCAAAAATCAAAAATAGCACAGCTATGTGCCTGGTCTCCGGCTATGTGAAAATGCATCATATGTTAAAATTCGATGATTATTGTTAATACTTCTCAATAAAACCGGAGAAATCGTATCGATCCGACATGTAGTTTCTGAGATACAATGAAATTGGAAAAAAAGAAAATAATAATAATAACTAGAACTGCGATGCAGTAATGACGGGTTTCACCGGTGTCCCGTTACCCTTGCACATATGTCACTTCCGGTACCGATGAAACCATTAAACAGGTTTCCATTTAAGCATTGCACACATCACATAAAATGTACGCAGAATCAACCAAATCCAGCAATATCAATTCATTGTATACATTCATTACATGTAAGTGATCCTGACAACATTACATTACTTCCAGTGATAATTAAAATGTTAAATTAGTTTCATGAAATCAGAAGTAGCATAAGGCATCACATGGTGAAAATTTTATGTAAATCGAATAATATTTGCCACTTTTATAGACCAAAATCCCTGAAAAGTGACTTGTAGAAAATCGTCTATTTCTCTGCAACCGTACAAGTTAGAAACCATTTTTTGGTATTTGTATGATCGTGTGAGTTCAATCTATTTGTTGATTGGAATCAAATATCATAATTTTAAAAACAATACAAATCAGACTCATTTGAATAAAATATCTGTTTTGAAGGCTAAAAATACAGTTTTTGCCAAAATGACGTTACTTCCGGTGATAATGAAAATCTTAAATTACTTGTATGAAATCTTAAATGGCATTAGATATCACACAGTGAAAAATTTATGAAAATTGAATAATAATTGACACTTTTATGGACCAAAAACCTTGAAAAGTTACCTGTTGAAAATCGTCTATTTCTCCGCAACTGAACAAGTTAGAAACCATTTTGTGATATCTATATGATCGTTTGGGTTCATTCTATTAGTTGATTGGAATCAAATATCAAAATTTTATAGAAATAACAAATAAGACTCATTTGAATAAATTACTGGTTTTGAAGGTTATAAATACAATTTTTGTCCAAATTATGTCATTTCCGGTAACATTGAAAATGTTAAATTGGTTTGACCTTGTTAAAATTGACATTACGCATCAAATGGTGTCACTTTTATGAAAATCGAATAATAATTGACTCCTTTACAGGCAAACTAGCGTAAAGAGTGGCTCATGCAAAATTGCCCATTTCTCGGCAACTGCTCATATTACAAACTAATTTTCACATACATTCTCTTCGTATGGATTATTGCTACTAGTTTATGAAAGTTTCGAAAAAATATATTAAAATATGAAAAGCCTGAATGGGTTGTGAATAGCTCATTTTTTCACCTTTTTTCGCCTTTAAATCGAAATGATCCGAAAACGAAATAAAAATTAAAAAAACGGAGCGCTATGATTTCTGCGCCTTAACAGGGCACACCCTTTCAGTCAAACCCACTTTCCCAGTAAAACCGAAGACATCGAATCGATCCGACAAGTAGTTTCTGAGATATGCTCAAATGGAAAAATAATAATAATAATAAGAAGAAGAAGAATAATAATAAGAATAATAATCCGAACAAAAACAATAGTGTTTCACACTGGCTACGCAGTGTGAAACCCTAATAAGAATAATAATCCGAACAAAAACAATAGTGTTTCACACTGGCTACGCAGTGTGAAACCCTAATAAGAATAATCTTAACAAAAACAATAGCGTTTCACACAAGCTACACAGTGTGAAACCCTAATAATTTATTTATATGATGCCGACAGTTCAACTCAGCGAGCTGCTCCCAAGCGCTTTACATAAGTACGACTAATATAAAATTACAACAATCACAACACATTAAAGATGCATTATGGGAGATTAAATAAAGAGCTGGTATTTCTCACTATAATACTTAAAAACTAGATAATTTAAGGGGAATTTGCTGAAAATTTCAGTCAAATTGATCCACTCTGAACCGAGAATTTAGCGATTGAATTTTCGACCTAGCCTCGATCATCATTACTAAAGTCGGTACAATAAAGGGCATAGTCTCGATTATCTATTTCGTGATTAAATCATGAATAAAAGTTGCAGCAAATCGAATCCTAATC